ATAACCTTATTGTTGGAAATAGTGTCTATTGAGACTTAAAAACGAGAATAATTCTAAATCACACGATATTCTGACTAAACTGCAGAAGATTACAAGCTTATCTAACTGAAAGGAATTCACCAATTAAGTGACTTTCTTCCCCTTTCTCAAAGTCTGGCTCACTCACTTTTCTACAGACTTTTGATTTCCAACACTAGAAACAATGGGTCTGAACTCAGGGAAAGCCTCTCACTCACTTGTTCTTGAGGAAACAATGACTCTACAATGTGCAAGGATGGCTTGGCTCTGGGGGCAGTGTCAAAGGGCATCAGACAGGCTCACTACTGCTGAGGAGTCCCTAGGCTTGGAGACTAAGCAAGTCTCCTAAGGGCAAAATTCCCACCTGATTTGACTCTGGATTTACCATAGCATTTAGAATAGGCATCTTACACTAATAATAAATATGCATTTAGAGAATGGAAAAAAAAAATGACAGCATTAACACATCTGTCTTTAACTGGGCAACTGAACTGGATCCAGCTTTATAAATACCCGCCATAATAACAGAGGCGTTATAACAAGGTTGCAGAGCCTAAAACACTTAGTTAGTACCTGCTTATGAACTAGGCTTGCTGTTCTCTGACCTTGGAGGTAGTTTATACACAGGTTTATAAATCCTGGTTTATACACATTCTGCATACACAAACCCAGTTTCTATCATTTACACACCTAATGTTTCCCAAACAATATATTAAACAAGAATAATCAAACTTAAAAAATTTGGGGGGTTCTATTTGGTGGGGGTGATGGGCACACCACTGTACACATGTGGAAGTCGGTGGTCAACTTATGGAAGTTGGTTCCCTCCCTCCATTGTGTGAGATGGAAAATTACTCAAATGTTCAACTACCATAAATTAAAAAAAAATAAGTAGGAAAATAGCCCACTCCCCCCCAGCTGCTGCTGCTAATTTTTTTTTTAATCACACCAAAATTGTTTAAAATTTCCCTGTGGCATTTTATTCTCCCAAACAGTATAAGCAGTAAATAACTATCATCTAGATAAGTATAAATCACCTGAAAGCATTTTAAAATGCTAAAACATCTGTCTTGAGGCTGCATCACTGGAATTCAAGATAGACAATAATTGTGCCAGAAGGATACAAGAACAGGGGAAAAAAAGTTCTTCTCGAGGAGTGATAGTTGGGACAGAAAAAGGAAGCACACACTAAATAATTATTTAATTGGCATTTACCATATAAACACGCCAGGCCTTTTACTAAGCTCTGGAGAAAGAATAGTGAACAAGACAGATATGTACTCATGTTTCTTATCCTCCTTTACAGCCAATAGCAAAAATATCTACCAATATGATATGGGAATCAAATACCCACATACTATTAGCTATGTAGTAAAAAACTAACTTTTTAGTAAACAACTACATGAATACCATCTTCCAATTACAACACCATGGAAAATGTACATTTTAGGTGCTTACAAAAACATGGATATAAATCATTTTGATAATGTATTAGTTACTTTTCCTGCTGCTACAACTAAATACCCGAGGAAAGCAAGCTAAGCATGCACATGATATGGCAGCACACGCCTGCAATCCCAACTCTGGAGTTGGAGCAAGAGGTTCAGAAGTTCAAAGTCATCCTCTACACCTAGAGAATTCAATGGAAGCCTGGGCCATATGAGACTTCCTAAAAATAAGAAGGGGGGCTGATTCAAGAAATAAACTGAATGGAGGAAGGATTCGTGGCTCATGGTTTGGTGCACAGGCATCTCCAGTCAGGAAGTAGAACGATAAAAGTTGGTTCTCAGGACACTGTCTGTCTCCTGGGCTGAAGCTGTCCACACTCAGGGTAGGTTCTCCTTTCTCAGTTAGCTCTCTAGAAACAACCTCACAGACACACCCCCAGGTGTGTTTCCTAGGTGATGTAATCTAGGTAAGCTGACAGTGGGGACTGACCATTAGAGATATAACAATAAACTATAACAAAAGCTTGTACAACCTTCTAAGCAAATAAATAGGAGACAATTTTCTCCTGCTGCAGAAGAGGAACAGGGGTCAGGGAAGGCTCTAAGGCCCTTAAACTGGGTCTTCAAAAAGGAAGGAGAAGTTTATTTCAGCAAAGAATGTTAATCAGAAGAGAAAGCTTTAAAAATGTCATAGAAGTAGGAAATTCCATTTAGAAAATGGAAACCCAATTTAACTACAGCATGCAGGGAATGTGTAGTCCAAAGGATGGAAGCCACCAAAGATTAATACATGAACAGTCCCGTATTCCACCCTGACAAAAGTTGAGAGTTGGGTAGCTTCATGGTTTGACAACAGAAGTGGCCTCATTACTGATCTGTGCTGTACTAAATAACTGGTGGCAGTGTGATGTCTAGGAAGTGTGAGCCATCAAGGCAAAGAGACCAGTGGTTAAAGTGTATTACAACAAGTAATCCTCTGCTACAGAGGAGAAATGATAAAGACTATGAGAATAACAATAAAAAGAGTCAAAAACAGATCAGAGATCAACCTAGGTAATTCAAGGTCAGAATTAAAGGAAAGAGAGTTGATGGCTTTATGCAAGACATGGGAAATAACAGGAGAATCAGCATGCTTGGGGACATTTCTGATTCTAATACTACTACATATCAAGTACTAACATAGATGCTGGACAGTCATACCAAACTATAAATACAATTTGTGTCATGGTAAAGCAAGGATTAAAATATTACAATAATCAATAATTTAACAATCAAGGTTAAAATATTACAATAATCAAGGTTAAAATCACAAAATATAATCCACGTGATTGCCAAGAGAAGTTTCCAAGTATGTCTTAGGAGATGTTAATGGATGTTAAAGATAGGAGTGTTACATTATTTAGAAGCAACAAATGCTTACTAATACATAATAAGAATAAGGTTTTAGCTAATATATCGATAGGTTTTAGTAAGTGGTGGTTATAATGAAATGTAGGTGGCTAATTGTCTTACATGTTTTACTATCCTAATAGTATATTATGCTTTCTGGAAAAGTAATAGAACTCAAAGGCTACCAGTTCAAACTTGGTTTTATCTAAACTCTTTTAAATATTAGTAATAGTCTATTCCCAACTTAAGTTTCTTTTCTCCTTTTCCATAAGAAGTAATTTTGCTAGAACCACCTTTGACAATGGCATCTATCAAACAATTGTAGATTATATAAATACTTATATAAAATAAGTATTTTGCCTGCTTTATTCAGCCTCTCATACAGGTTAATGAACATTACATCTTAATCCATTAAGGTAAGCTTCATAGCCAGGTGGTAGTGGTGCACGCCTTTAATCCGAGCACTTGGGAGGCAGAGCCAAGAGGATCTCTGTGAGTTCAAGGCCAGCCTGGTCTACAGAGTGAGTTACAGGACAGACTCCAAAAGCTACACAGAGAAACCTTGTCTCGAAAAACCAAAATAATAATAATAATAATAATAATAATAATAATAATAATAATAAATAAAGATAAGCTTCATGAAGAAAAAGAGTTATTTAATAAGAACAGACACACAGATAGTCTATAAATATCAAAATAGATCTCAGTAAATGAAAAAGTTTTCCTTAACTTATAAATAAACATCAGTGTCTACTATTTTCTTTTTCTGTTTTTTTTTTGTTTTGTTTTTTTCAAGACAGGGCTTCTCTGTGTAGCCTTGGCTGTCCTGGAACTCACTCTGTAGACCAGGCTGGCCTTGAACTCACAGAGATCCTTCAGGCCTCTACCTTCCACCTTCTGGGATTAAAGGCGTGAGCCACCACCACCCAGCTCAATGTCTACAACTGTCAGGCCATTTTTTTCCTTTCCTAACATGTATCCCTTTGTCAGCTTCCCATTTATTTTCAGTTACCTAGAGTTATTATCAGTAATCTTGTCTACCTCATTGGTTTGATTTGGATCAAGGACTCTCAACAAAATCAAGAATGGTCCCTCCGGGACATTCTAAAAATTTTGTGAGGCCCTTTGAGGTCCCACAGTAATTTGCATAAGAGGACGGGTGGACAGTGGACTACCGATTTCATGTGAGACCAGCCAACAGAGCAATAAAGAACCAACCCTGGCCCTTAAGGCTTTACATGATACCAGTGACATGGAGTAGGGGATAGCCAGTTTATGCTCCTCTTTGCTAAGAACTTTCATCCATTTATACCGCGTCTACTGTTTCAGTACCGACTGAATTTTCCATAAGTGAAGCTACCCTGTAAACTGAGGCGGTATTTTCAAAAAATTACCTCAAAGCGTTCACCTTTCTGGAAAAAAAAGTTAAAAATAACATTAAATTAAATTTAAAAAATAAATGAAATTAAAAATAAATTGTAATGCTATTTGATAAGCCAGGCAGTGAGAAGGGTGAGGCAGGAGGCTCCTTAAGTCGAGGCCAGTCTGGGATACACAGTGAGTCCCCGTTTAAAAAACAAGATCCTGATGGCTGGCAGCTGTAGCTGTCACGCATACAACTGCTCTGGACTGCTGCAATAGGGGAGCAATATGCTCACTCTGTAATATTGCAGCCTCTAACGTAATAACGTGGAGGCATTTACAAGTTCAAAAAGCGACATGTGACTAAGGAAACAGTTACTTCACCTTTATGTTTCAGTTGGGCTATTATATTGACTAAAAAAAAAAAAAAAAAAAAAAAAAAACTTTACTGACTCTCATATCAGGATATCACAGGAAACTTTTAAAAGTTCTTGGTATAAAAAAACAGCACTGGCGTGGACCGGTGGAGAATCACCCACACCTTGAGCATGCCTGAGGCTGGCTGCTAAAAAGACCTCCTAACTTAGGTCCTGAATGCTCTACACTCCTACAGATGGAAACCGGCAGGGTGAGGCCGACAAGAGTTCGAGCCCCGGGAAGGAAAGAACCTATTTCTTCCTTTCAGCCTGAATAAATCGCGTGCGCTTTCTGAGTGGCCCCAGGTTGGGTAACTCCAGATTTTGGGGCGGGGTGGGGGGTGGGGGGAGGACGCTAGAGAAGCACCTCTCCTTCCTCCCTTCGCGGGGTACCAACTGCCCTCACGCCTTCTTCTTCACGCCGGGGTTCTTAACTCCTTTCCCCGAGGAGGTGCCCCTGGCCCCTCCAGGTCCCCTCCAGGCCGCCCAGGGGGTTCCGGGGGGACTCGTCAGTGGCCGTGCACGGGCCAGTGCTGCGGCCCCGTGTCCCTCGGCGGAGGCAGCCTGTGACGGGGTGGGACTTGGAGAGCTTGGGGTCCATGGGTGCGGGGACCCGGGAGAGGAGCGCGGGACGGCGGCCGCCCGCAGACTCACCGCTGCGTGGTCGATGTCGGCGTCCGGCCTCTGGGTGGAGGGAGGCAGGTACTCGGCGTAGCGCAGCCCCTCTCTGGAGGCCACGCCGCCACCGGTAGCCATAGCAGTGCGGGTGGCCCCCAAGGACGCGCTGCGTTGCTACGAGTCTACGAGACGGCCGTAGGGACAAACTAGTGCGGGCGGGTTAGCTTCGCGCTCTGGGTAAACTGCTCGGTCGTATGGGTGGAGACGCTGTAGAGAATCTGGTTCTCATTTTATCTCCGAGAAACTTGTCCCGCCAAAGCCCTAACTTGTTTACTTTTATTTGTTTGTTTGTTTTGCAGGATCTCCTGGGGCTAGACGTGTTGTGTTACCTTCCACCACACCCACCACGCCTGGGGTTGAGGTGGGACTTGTTAGGTCTGTCTTGAGTTCCTCTGAAACCAGCCTGGAAGAGACTCCTGGGTTCTGCAGTGGTGCCTGGGAGTAGAGACATGCTTGGGGCTTCCTAACTTGGCCTTCCCAGAAAGAAATAACGATGATTTTACATGTAAGTGAAATTACTGGGGAGAAACTGGTGACCAAGTAGCTATTTTTGAGTTAATTTGAATATATAAAGACTTTATTAATTTTTAGGTCAAGCTCTTTGAAACAAATATTAGACAATAACTGAAGCTAGTATGTTTTCTAACCCCTGGACCGACTTGGCTGTTGTTTTGCCCTTTATACACTTTGCAAACCAGCTTACAAGAAGTTGTTTTTTTTTTCTTTCTATTCTTGAATTAAAAGTTTTAAGAGCCGGGCGGTGGTGGCGCACGCCTTTAATCCCAGCACTCGGGAGGCAGAGCCAGGCGGATCTCTGTGAGTTCGAGGCCAGCCTGGGCTACCAAGTGAGTTCCAGGAGAGGCGCAAAGCTACACAGAGAAACCCTGTCTCGAAAAACCAAAAAAAAAAAAAAAAAGTTTTAAGAACCTATTAATTTATCCATGTAGTTAATATTATGTGCATGCTTAGGGCCTGAAGGAATTTACAATCCAGAAGAAAAGATTACACTAACACCGTGCTAGTAAAATATACCAGAGCATGAGCATGCTGGATTAGCTGCAAAAGGAAGCAAAGCAACTGCATTAGTGTTTACAGAAAGGAACAGCAGCAATCCTGAACATTTCCTTGGAGGCTCAGCCATTGAGACAGTTCAGTAAAAAACCTGTTTGTTTTTTTTGTTTTGTTTTGTTTTAGTTTGAAGAAGAAAAGGGCCAGAAATTCCACTTGGAAATAAACACAAAGAACTGAAAAGGGTGGTGTGTAACATTGGGTTAAAAGTATTTCAAGACTCTTTAGAAACATGATTTTTATCTAAATTATTTTTTATTAAGCCAATCCCCAATTATTTGTGAGCAAAACAAATGAGTGGGACTGGAGCCTACATATCATTCATTCATCATCCATTTGTTCAATTTATTCAATAAATACTTGCTGAGCATGTGTCAAGTTTTAGACACAGTATGGGGCATTGTGCCTTTAGCATCAGTTAAACAAATAAGGTCTCCAAGTCTTTGGAGTTTAGAGTCTAAGGGAGGCTAATGGTGTATCCTAGCAGCTGGACCCTAACAGTCATAGGCTGCTAGCCTGGAGCAAACAAGCAATTAGAGCAAGACCCATGCGAGCCAGCTCTTTTTAGAATGCTGCACCTGCTCAAGAGCTGGAGGGGAGGCTTCCAAAGCAGAAGCCAGGAGAGAAGGGGGCTGGGGTGGAGAATAAGGCATGGATAATGGGGCAGAGGAGACAGCTATGAGGAGGAAGATGGTCGGCAGGTTTTGAGAGATTGTTGGCTGCTTCTAGACTTTCCCAGACTCCCTGCCACTGCTGCCTTGGTTATCTCCTTCTACAGAAGTGGCCAGTGTTCCAGAGAAATCTCATCCCCAGTGACCACTCAGCCCTCGGCCTTTGGTTCTTCAGCAGGCTCAACCTTACCAGCAAATAACGATAAAAACAAAAGCAGTGAAATCCTTTCCTCTCCCCCAAGGATCTCTTCTTAGTTTAGCTAAACTCACTTCTCTGGCTTCCTTGAGAATGATGATAAATGTTGTTTTGTGAAATAAAAAAGAGAGGTGTATTAAATTTCTATTGGTTTTCTTTTAATTACTTATACCATTTCAAAGCTATATTATGTTCAATGGACCTTGTAAAACAAAGGCAGAGATTGGTATATATTTTGGAAACATTTCAGAGACGTAATTGATTTTCTCAGTTTACCCATCAACCATTATCTTGGTCGGGTCCGCAAAAAGGCTCTACTATAGGCCAAAGTGTAGTGGGAGAAGATTGTCTAAAGAAGGAGAGAGAAAAACTCGAACCACAGGTGACTGTGAAGGGCCAGAATTAGACAAGATTCATTAGAGGACGGGGCAAACTCAGAGGCATGGAGTATATGAAAACGTTGTATATGAACAGCCACCACTAGTTCGGTTTTTTGAAAGCTTAAATCATAAAGAAGACAATACAGATGGATGAGGTGAGCAAAATACCAGCTATCAAACAGCTTTACACAATAAGCAAAGGTATTTAGGGTTAGCTTATACTTCAGAGAACATTGAATCCAGGTGTAACTTGATGTGTTAGCTAGCATTTTGTCACCCACACAAAGTGCCTGAGAACAGCAACTTAAAAGTAAGGGGGCATCCACTGTGGCTCACCATCTCCAAGGTTTCAGTCCTTGGTCCCTTAGCTCTGCTGGACCTGTACTGTGAGGAGGTAAAGCAACAAGTCAGGAAGCATGTGGAAGATCAGAGCTGCTCACCTCATGGTAGCCAGGAAACAGAGGGGGGTGGGAGAGACAGACAGACAGAGACAGACACAGAGAGAGACAGACAGAGAGAGGACAGATCTAGAGATAAGATCCATCCTTCAATGGCTCACCCTCAGTGACCCATTTCCTCCAAATAGGACCCACCTTCAAACAGGAAGTCACCACTGAATTAACCCATTGATGAATTAAGAGCTTTCATGATCCAAACAACTGGTAAAGTTCTGTCAGCTGGCAACCAACCCCTTAACGAATAACACAGGAATGTCATAGCCAAACCATAATGCATGATGATGTGCAGCCATATTCCCTTGTGTATTGAAGCCACACCACTTATATGGAAAAAAAGTGTAATAATACATGAAAGAAGTTAACTAGCTGGACTGGATTTAATTTAAAAATGATTACCCCTCATATTGCTTGGATACTTGCTAAAATATTTATCTCCTGGCATACTATTGATTCCACATTAATGTAGGAAGACAGGGAAACTCCTTGCTGTTTGGGGGAACTGGCTGCAACAAGGAAATATGGATGGCTGTGGGATGGTTTCAGGGCTAATCTTACATGGAATTAAACACACACACACACACACACACACACACACACACACACACACACACACACACACACACACACTGATCCCAAAGGAAGTCAGTAGGGGATAAACCAAACAAAAACACGTTTAAGTGCTCTTTGTGGAGATAGTCACTCTCTAATGAGAGAAAATGGGTCTCTGCACCCGGTAGGTTTGTCTCATGGTCACCTGGAGCAGCATCAGCTGCTTGGGTGCCAGCTGCCGAGAATCCCTTGGCGGAAGAGCTGGCAGGAATACCCATGTTGTTTTTTGGAGCCCATTTGCATTTTGCGCTTTGTTTGTCTGAGCCAAAACAGCACAAACTATGCCAAACCTGGTTCTCTGATTATTTTCAGGCTGATTGAAACTGGCACATGACATGGTTTTATCTAATTAACCCACATGTGGTACAAAACAAAACAAATTTGAAATGGAAAGCTCTTTCTGTCTTCATTGAAAGACAGAGGTGAATATATAATTATTTTGTCCTTGTCTCTCATCCACATTTACAGTTGTGTGAGGAGATATTTTCCTAATAGATAGCACGACACATTCTATGTATTCTGTGTCTATAATTAAAAGTGATTATGTTTTACATTTTCCTAAATCGAATATTTTCCTTTACAACATCTGCCTAAAAAGAAAAAAAAAAGAAAGAAAGAAATATGTGGGAGATGTGTGCTCCAATAAACACAAGGGTTGCTCTCTCCACACATACACTTCTGATGTTACATGTGTAAGAGTTTGTCTCATACCAACCAATTTTCCAATTCTCTGGACATCCACTGTGTTCTACAATCCAATTCTGACACTAATCATCCTAGAATTAGCAGAATTAGTGCAGACCCACAGGTTAATAATTTGGTCCCACAAGATTGTCCTCACTTCAGATACCAATTGCAGGGTCCAGAGTAGCAGCTCTAATTCTGACTGACTTGGTACAACAGGGAGGGCCCAGGTCCCATGACGTCCTCCTCCAATTTCATGATTTGCTATAAAGATTCACTCAACTCAGCAAGGCTTTTTGTTTACCATGACTACTTTGTTATAAAGGACACGACTGAAGCACATTAAATGGAAGAGATTCAAAGATCAAGGGGTGGGGGCTGGGGGGACTCAGGCCTTCCAAGCCATCTCAGCTCCTGGATGTGTTCATGAGTCTAGAAATTCCTCAAACCCAGGTGTTTAGGATGTATTACTGAGGTTTCATTACATAAGCATGGTAGAGTAAATCATTAGCTCTTGGTGCCCGAACTCAGTCTTCAGTGCCTCTCCCAGTCTGGGAGACTAGTGGGTATGGCTACAAATCCCAATTCCTCTGGCACCCAGGACACCCCTTTCTCTACCCCACCCCACCATCATAGTGTCAGATATGGTTGAAAAGAGCTTGTATTATTGTATTAGTTACTTCTTTCTGTGGCAAAACACCTAACAATTTAAGATAAGGTCTATTTTAGCTCCCAGGTTCAGGGTACACCTCATCCTGGTGGGAAGGTCATGGAGGGAAAAGCCTAGGGCAGCTAGTCACATTGTATCTCCAGTCAGGAAGCAGAGAGAGGTGAATGCTACTTCAATTTGATTTATTCCTTTTTATTCAATCTAAGACCCAAGCCTAGGGAATAGAACTGCCCAGGGTGGGCAGGTTTTCCCACCTCAATTACAATAAACTCTTATAGATTGGCCTATGTGCAAACACAACTAGACAATCCCTCACAAGCATACTAACAAGCTTGTATACTAGGTGAAATGAGTAAATAAATAAATAAGTACATAAATAAATAAATTCAGGAGTTTAAAAAAACCCTTGTAGTGGTACCTACATTAATGTTTGATTAAATAACTGGAAACAAGTATCTTAGGGAAGGTTATGGTGATATTTTATTTGTACTGAAATGTGATTTTATTTGTATGTTAATAAATAAAGTTGCCTGGGGGTCAGAGCTAATAGCAAGCCATAGCAGAGCTGGGTGTTCGTGGTGTATGCCTTTAATCCCAGCACTTGGTAGGCGGAGCTAGGTAGATCTCTGTGTGGTCAAGGATACAGCCAGCATTGGAGATACACACCTTTAATCTCAATACTAACCATAGAAGATCTGGAGGTCTGTACCAACAGGCAGTGATGAGGTGGTCATGTGGTTGGGTTTACAACCAATGAGAAGGCAGAACA